TCAAACGTTTACTTCTTGTGCTAACATACAAGTTGACAATATTTTAATATTTTTGGAGTATTCAAAACATATCTGTTTCTTATTTATGTTGTGCCAACTGATTTCCTGTACATCGCATATGGAAACAGATTGTGTTTATGAAAGAGTTCATTGATTTAAATTCATTACATACATTAACATTCAAGATTCAGTACATCATTAGCAATGAAGTACGTTCTTTCCACAATTGATTTTTCAATTAAATTTTTAAAAGCTTCGAAAATGGTTATCTAATATAAAATTGAAAATATGTCCGTGCGTATGTTCCACTATAACTATTTATTTTAATTTACGCTGTTGTTATGAGTGCCGTTTGATTTCTCACGGCCTGGGGAAGAGCATAGCACAGTCAGTTCTGATTTTCGTAATTTATTTTTGGATGAGAATTTTTTTTTCTTCTTGTCTTCTATTACTATGTTACTCTAACAGGGACACTCTGTTAACAGTTTGGGAAAAGACATAGTTAGAAGAAATTTAATTGATATTTTCTCTCAACTTTTTAGTTTTCTAAATCTTAAAACATAATATAAAATCGAATAAATGTGCCTGGGCTGCGCCTGAGCAAAGCGATCTTGCTAGTACAAAATAATTTTCCAACAAATTTCTTTCGAAAGTCAATTTTGAAAAATCAAAGCCATTTCATTTTCCCACATTTGCACCATAAAACAGTTGATTTATGCAATTCAAAGCAGTGAACCCTGTTTCTCGTGGTATTGATTGTTTCCCCACTGTGGTTTAAAAAAATTGAATGACGCAAATATTGAAATGAAACGCAAATGTTATGCGCTTTTTGGGCATTTTTGGGATTTTTCGAACGTGCAAAAATAGAATTTTAGCCAAAATTCTCGTTTTTTTTCCCCTCAATATCCAACAATATCCAAGAACAAGTTTTACGTCCCGGTGGAATTTCCATTTTTCTTGAACAAACAAAAAAACCGCACTTTTGTTGCTATGCCGGGTGTGTTCATCTACCGATAAAACTATCAATGAAAAGCTTGGTCGTCAAATAGACAATCGTATTTTCACCGTTCTTGTGATCACGTAATCGGTTTGCTTTATGGCATATTTGCTGAAGAGTGAAATAAGTCCATCAAAAATAACATATTTTTTTTCGTTCCACTTCAGCTGCTACTTCATCTACAGCACACAACCTGGTACACCAAATAAACATGAATGCACACAATCATATCGACTCATAGTCTCTCAACCGAAAACGTGTGTTCTCGTAATCTCAACGTTCTCGAATATCGTGTTTTTTTTTCTTCGGAAGGATCCTTCGAAAATGAAACCGAATGAAATGAGCAAATTTCAACGAGTCGTCCATTTGCTGTCCATTTCGGTGTTCGTCGATATTTTTGTTTATTTAAACGGAGTATTTTACAGACACTCAAAAAAGGAGGTGTACTCATCGATGGATGGTCCGCAATCAAAAACATCATCACGAATATTGTGTGCGTTTGAGTGTGCGTTTTGTTCCAACTTGCGAAATGCAAAGTGGATTATATTTATATTCGTAAAATACCCTGTCCACTGTCTCTCTGAGAACCACTCTCCGTGGCTGTGTTCGTCTCTCTTTCGATCGCCTCTGTGTCTCTTACTTGGTATTTTTCTTCCATATTATTAGTGTTCGATATGTTTTTGTTGTTGCTTCTTCTGTTTTGTTTTTATTTCCTTTGGGAAATTGGAAATGGCTTGGTAAAGTGGATTGAACAATTTCAGGGTTGATTTTCTCAAAACTAAATACATATTTGCATGTTAGTTGCTGATGACCACAGTTGGCCTGTCCATTTATACGTATACCACCGGTCGCATGAGTATTTAGCTTTCACTCGCTTAAATACTTAAGCATGATGCCATATGGAATTTGGTTGGATTTGTTTCCTTTTTTGTTCATTGTGCCTCAACTTTTTTCCCCTCGTCGCACTCTCGCCGCTTCTTATCTCTCTCTCTCTCTCTCTCTCTCTCTCTCTCTCTCTCACTCTCGGTGTGTATGAGAGTTTTTTCTTCTTCTTCTCGGTTCATGTTTATTTGTACTCCACTACTAATAAGTGGAAGTTAAAGCGAATGATATGATATTTGTAAACGCAAACACGCATTTAAGGGTGCATTTTGTACCGTGACGAACGTTTAATACACACACTCACATAGTACCGTCCAGTCCAGTCTGAACTGATGGCAAACATTATGTGAATCCTCTCAATCGGTTCAATCGGAATTTTATGAGTGAGAATACACATCGTACACATTCAATTTAAAGCGGTTCCATTCATTTTGATTTTCTTTTTTTTCACTTTCCCCCCTCTGTTCCGTTTATCCTCCTGTGTGTCCGTCCGTCCGTCCGTTTGTTCCTTTCATCGCATTACTTTTCTCTTGAGATAAAAACGTATTTTAGATTAATTTGTCTTGAAGCTAATTAGTCCGGTTTTTCCACAACACTTGATGAAACTTAATCAATTAAATATAATTTCGAGTGCATGCCGCGCAGTTCACCATTTCAATGTTAATGAAGATGAACTTTTGTTATTGTACAAAAATGTGGAGAGAAGCGAAAAAAACAAAACTAAAGCAAACCACCAAACAACGAATAAATTCGAAAAAGCAGAAAAAAAACTAAGAAAAAAGGCGGGCCAACGAAACGCTCAGCGAAAGATCAGCTTACAGGTGGTTTACCCTTGTGTAATGAATCAACAATAAAGAAGACCAACAACAATAGAGAAAAATGATGCGGGAGTAAGGTAAAAGTCAATGTTCGGCTATTTTCGTTTGAAAATTCCGTCGGTCGATTGAAAACTGCATATTTCAACAGCATCCGCGCAAAACAGCTATGAAAAATGATAAAAGCACGAACGGCCAGAGATGAATTGTGAGTGATGAAAGGATATTTGAAAAAAAAACGACGAAAATAATTTCATTCCGAAAATATCAATTCTAATAGTATACGGAAATTAACTTAGGCGAAACGCAAGACGTATAAACACAAAAGACGTGAACTCACAGCGAGCTGTAATAGTGAGTGCATGAGAGAGCGAGAGTGAGCTGAAGAGATGGCGAAACGAAATTTAATCAACTGGGATTATGGCGATATCCTGTTAATTCTATTCGTTGATTATTGTGTGCTCGATTGGATTCCCGCATCCGCATGTTTTCCTTTTTCATCTATACAAAATCGATTGGAAGTCAGCGTTGACCCTTTTTTCCGTCCTTCTTTCTCTGTTTTTTTTTTGTTTCGTGCTTTGGCGCTCTTGCATTTTGCGCCGAATTTCTTCGATGTGCCCAAGTTTTCTGTCGTTTTCGTCGCTATCGCTCTCATTCGAATAAAAATGCACACACAACTATTGACTACTACTACTATTTACAACGACAAAGGCGTGAGTTGGCCTGACTGGTGAGTGATGAAGACGAGAAAAAAAATGCTTAGTACAAACGCGCAACAACGGGTGGCAAATTGAAATTAACTGCTATCGCACGCAGGGATATTTATCAAATTGTGAGTTAACACAAGTTTCGAATTGAAGTGAAAACATCCAAATAGAGCAACGTGCAGCAGCAGCAGCAGCAACAACAGCGACGATGTCAAACCGACGAATTGTCGCAATGTAATGTATATAACACAACAACACATGATACACAAATGTGCGCTACCACATGCACACGCATACGTGTATGTCCCACTCTATCTATCTCTATGTCTCCCTCTCTCGAATCGCTATTGTCATTCTACCTCGAGTTTTGTGTCGTTCTATTTTGCTTTGCATCCAGTGCGCCCTACTTATTTGCCGCCTGGATGTTGTATGTATTCATTAAATTACAGCAATTTCATCCTATTTGCAACGACACATAACCAGACTCAAATCCAATTGTCGCCCTTATGAGACTTTTAACTGTTTCTTTCGCTCGCATGGCATTGCTTGCAAGGTTAGAATATTTCCAGCCGCCGCTGTTGCTTCTGCCACTTTGTGGAGAGCCATTTTTTTTTCTCTCGACTTGGTTATATTTCGTGACAACGTGGAAAAAAAACCGTCGAACGAATCCAAAGAGAACAGGAAAAAAAACCTCTAGCCAGAGACAAACAAATGCACAACGGATTAACATCGATTTGTCGCTCTGATGAAAAACTAATTTAAAATTACTTTCTTACGTTTATACCGTGTGGGAGAGAGAGAGAGAAGGAGGCAGAGTCGTAAGACGACAGCATCAATCCAGAAATCCATTCACCGACTCTGATTTAACTTCCTTCACTTCATCACTTGATTTCACGTTTGTTTTTCCTTTGCTGCGCTGAAGATAAAGATGATGATGATGAAAATAAAGACGGAAAAAATGGTGCAATATCGATAAAATGGAACAGCCAGTCTACCTGAATGAATCAGTTGCATTTAAACTTATCAAATAAATTTCTCCGGGGAGCACTTGATTCAAAGCCAAACGTATAAATTAAAATAGCTTGTAATTTTATTCAAAATAACATCAAACGAATCTGATTGGAAACGGAGAAACAAATCTTATTGGAAAATTTGAGCCATGCTTATGTCCTGTGCTTTTTCAAAAGTACAAAGTTGAAAAGGTGCTTCAAAGTTCCACTTAGTTCTAACACCAACCGAAAAGAACTTTGAAACTTATAGTGCAAAGCTTCGGAAATTTGCCATCATATGCAACAACCCATGATTGGGTGTCTTCACTGAACTTCGACTTGCTGAGTGAAGTGAAAAGTTGTTGTCAATGGCAGTCAATGAACTTTATTTTATTCTTTTTACGAATTATCATATTTTGTCAAAAAAAAAATTGAACATTTTCAAATGAAATCCAATGGTATTTGGTTGTACAAATTGTCTTAAGTAACAATAAATTCAAATAAAACCGATTTATATATATTAAAAAAAATCGGTGAAAAAACGTACATGGTCCTAGTGTTGTGGCCAACTTCACACTGTTTTCGGCAAATGTCAATGTCGTTGACTGACAGACAGAGAGAGAACTGTTCTTTGTGTGTTGATGTGTTTGTCTGTGTTTTGGAACTGATTGTCTCTTTTTTTCGTTACTTTCAGAGTTGCATCGGCCGCGGCCACTGACACAACGTTTACACTCGCTAAGAGAATAGTTGGTACGAATACATCGTTGACGACAATACTGAACGATATATTCACTCTTTCGCATCGCTTCGACAAACAACATAAAATCTTACACACTGTGCGTTCTTCTTTTATTTTTTTTACTTTGCGTTTGCTTTTTTCGCTTTTTACATTGATTTATTGATCGGATTCGATTGAAAATCGATTTGAGTAAACTTTATTGTGCATGTCATTTCATCAATCGTGTACAATTAAAAGTTAAATATTAAAACATTCAAACGAAGATGAGACGGGAATAAAAAAACATAAACCTAGTGTGGTGTTTGATTATAGTAAAGAAACAGCATACTGAAAGAAAGCAATATCAATCGAAAGACCAAAAAGAAATTAATTCTGCTTTTCATTCATCCGAACTGAATTGTGAATAAGTTGTTTTGTTTTGCAAATTATATTTGCTTAAAATTGAGTGAAATAATCGAACAGGGCGTCGCACCCAAAGAGCCGACTATTTTTTTTTTATTGTGTGCATCGAATTATCATGTTTACCAATTGATTTGTTGGACGAAATCGGTAAGAAAACTCTCGCCTACAGAAGAAGTAACATAAAATAAAATACAATTATACACATGAATTGATTGGTTGGCTTACGAACTCGGTTCATAACTTTTTTCTCTTGTACTAACGAGACTCGCGAGCAGAAAAGGTTGAAATTGGTTGGTTCGCATTAGAGAAATGCGTGTTTGCCGATTGTCCAGGTAGAGAAACAAGGAGCTTGTAGTAGAATGTTTTCAGAAGTCTGGCCAAGTTTCGTCGAGTGACTGCGAAATTTATGACACGAATTTTCAGTGTGCGTTGCGTTATATGGTAAATTGGTTGGCTCAGCTGTTTGCGCAACCGATAAAAATATCGAACTTTTTTTTGTTTCGTTCGAAAAGTAAATGTGCTGCCTAACGTTTTCCATGCTGAAAAATTCATTGGATTAACAAATAAATTGAGGAAAGAACGTGCATCGTTTTCGGTTGCGAAATTGCGATAGAGAATGTGTGTGTGTGTGTTTTATAAAGATTGGCGTCTGCAAAACACGACGACGCAAGATAATCAGGAAAATTCGATGCTGCATAAACGCGACATCGACAACACGAAAAAAAAATTCTATTTTTAAAATTGTCACACACTGCAATTCATTTGAGTAGAATGGCATCAATGAAATACAGGTTCAGAATAGCACACGCATTTCTTACAAAACTGCGAGAGTAATCGGCCGTATCATTGTCATTATTGCTGTTGATGTTGGGCTTTTTCTCTCTCTCTCTCTCTCTCTCTCGCATACGAAATATGTACGATTCCAAAGCTGATTGTGGCAAGTTTATTGACACTCTACCGAAACATCGTGTATTTCGACGATCTGCTTCACATTAATTCGCTGCAAAACATATTTTTTCAGAGTAATAAATTTTCATTTCGAAATGACATCGTCACAAAACGATCATCATTTGCCAGCTCCTTATTTTTGTGGAATTTCGCTTGCTCGTTCGCTCTGCATGTCGTGTATGCTGTTGAGTTGTGAATGAGTATCTGATTTCTTTCTTTTTTTTAATATCATTATTTCGTTTCATATCATCATCATTTTGGTGTCTTTTGACACTTGAGCCCAGGCCACATAAATTGATGTGTGTGTACGATAACACATTTCCAGAATAATTTAAATGGTGCATTTGCAAATGTTCATCAAATAAATTAAAATATGAAATGTGCACACTTTGTTCAGCACATAGCAAGCAGCTCTCCAACTTGATACATGTTTATGTGTAATGTTTTGTGTGTGTGTGTGTGTGTGTGTGTGTGTGCGTACATGCATTTACCGAGGCAATTTCCGACATGATGATCGTCTCGATAACTAATTACAAGGTATCATAGCATATCGCATATCTCTCGTGGTTTAATTATGTGATTTTTTTGTTGTTGTTGTTTTGTTTCGACTTTGTTGTTGTTACATTAAAGAAAGCCTCATAATTGCCGTTTTAATGATGCAGACAACACAAACTCGTTCAAACTCACTGCATTTTCGATTGGTGTGTTTGGTTTTTTTTTCTACCTGTGATTCGATTTGGTTTTCACCTCGCAATGCGTCGTCTATCATTTTTGTGTGTTTGTGTATGCCATGTAGTACATATGTACCGATATGTGGAAATTTGTTTTCAAATGCATTACAATCGAGCGCGCGCTAGTCATGCAGAGAGAAGTAGACACAGTCAATTAAATTAAAAGTACAAAATGACAACCCGATTCGGCTGCACCAATCGATTTACTTTCGTTTACTTTTTTCGGCTATTAAAACGATTTATGAGCCGCAATCAAATCAAAATATAATGATATGAATGGAAAAACCAGCGTCTGACAATCAATGGACGTTACCGATACAAATTAAATATTCAGCATATACAAACATTTGAAGACAGGCTACATTGATCGATTTATTCAGACAATACATCGGTTCAATCAATATTCTCGTTCGTTCGCTCGCTCTCTGTTTCTCTGTCACTTGGATTCATTTATCCTTTTCTGTCATATTTTCTCATATCGATGACGAAAAGGGGCTTCAATCTTCAATAAACGTCACCCAACCGAAAGATGCACCAATATCCAAATCAACCCTATGGGCAAACACCGTATTTTCAGTGTGACAACACACGGTAAATATAGCGAATGAGCAGAAAAGGAGTGAAAAGAACGGAACACCGCATTTGTAAACACACATATACCGAAAAAAAACATATCGTATAAATCGGGAAAAAATCGATTCATCTTTTTAATTTCGGAGCAGAATGTTTGCTTTTTTTCCTCCTCGTTCAATGGACGTCAAATCTACGGGCATAACGTAAAGTCAATTTCCTTCGGTTTTGAATGCGTACATGTGTTGGATGATGAGCTGCGGTGCGTGTATTTATGCACCGTGGATGTTCTTTTTTCATCCATTCTTCAGTGTGCTTCTGGTTTTTTTCCTGGCTGGCATCTTTCCTTTCGCATTTTTCAAATTGTCTAAAATGAAACTCTCTTCACATATTTGCACACACCGAAAGAGCGACCGAGAGAGCGAAAGAGCGGCAAGCAAGGAGATAAATTGTGAGCCGCATCACATCGACCGATGATGTGAAATGAATTATACACGCACACGAGATATAAACATACTTTAAGTTACTGTGTGCTCTGTTTCGGGTGCCGTAAATGTTAGCACAAAGATGTGTGATGTACAAAAAGGCACAAGCAAAACCAAAAGCAAAGTACTACACAAGCATGTTACAGCAGCAGCAGCAGCAGCAGCAGCAGCAGCAGCGTTCTATGAACCAGACGAAATGTGCAGGGAGATTTTATCGATTTTTTTTGGCGGAATATTTGCGAGTGCTAACTACTACGAGCTACGAATACATGCAACCAAAAATAACAACACAACAGGAACAAATGTGACAATAGAAAGTGAGCGCACGCATACATGCACGCACCTTCCCAATAGAACTAACCCAATAAAATGAGTATATATACAGAGAGAACCAGGCAGCCATTGAGCGATAAACAGAGAGAAACGCAGAGAGAGAGAGAGAGAGAGAGAGAGAGAGAGAGAGAAATAGAGAGAGAGAGAGAGAGTGAGAGCGAGACGCGTTTTGCGTACACTCCAAATATAAATACGGTGTTGTGTTTACGCACTATGCCAGAGGCTGAAGCATGGGCCAAATGAAGAAAATCATGCACAGTGGATGATACAAATGGCGTACCAGAGAGAAAACCAGAACAACAACAGCAGAAACGAGAGAAAGAGAGAACGAGAAGAAAATACACAAAATCGGGTGCACATGATTTGGCTTTGTTTTGGTACCCGAAAACCATTGAACCATCAGCAAGTAGCAAGACTTCCGTATGGCGACGACGACAACAGCGAACACAGTAAATGGAAACATTTACCATTTGCTTGTGGCTCGGGGAAAACACGCTCACAGTGCCACATAAACACTACTATCACAATGATTTGATTCGAAACGCAGACAAATCATTTTGAAGGGGGGTTCCTTCGGTCTTTTCAATTTTACTTCCTTATCGCACGAACTCGCATGTTCTTTGCTATCGTCTCCCATGCCGAACGCTTCAATTTTCATGAAACGGAACAGCATACTGTGAGCAATTTTCGCTACTAAGATGGCTGATAAAGTAGAGAACCACAAAGCGGAAGATATTATTCCCGAATACCATTCAATGGCGTTGAGACATTCACATTCGAATGTTCGTCATCGTTGTTGTCGACAAAGTGTTTGATCATCAATGCAAAAAAAGGTAGCTTAGCAACTCAAATTTGTTCAACTTCACTCACTCATTCAATCACTCGATTGATTTTTCCCTCATTTTGCGTCCGAAAAAAAGACGAATAGACATAATTTTCGTTCGCGCACCGAATCTGTCACATTTATTACATTCATAATTCGATTTTATCCTTCACTCCATCGAGCCTTTACCTTGTGCTCATCAAATTTGCAAAAGGTGGACTCTAACACCAAACCGCATCTCTCCCTCTCTCTCTACCTTTTGTACAGTACCGAATATTATTTATTCATGACTCACAATGAGTTTGGATTAGTCTCAAACTTTTCGCTAATAACTCGATCACATCGAACTATGGCCGTTGTTGTAGATTCCAATGAGGACAATAGAGATTCGTGCAAACTTGGATTCTATGCTTCGATACAACCGAATCGAGCGAAATGCTTTCCGAATTATTCACGCATCTCTGGCGAGATGCATGGAGTATGAGAGTGCGTGCGTTTGTGTATGTGTGTGCCTGGTGTGTATGCAGAAGCTGGCTGAAACGAGGCAGACAAAACGCCCCATTCATTTCGGATTCATTGATCACGTTCATCATATCATATTGATTGAAATGATATTGGGATGCGGTTTGAAAATGCCCGGCTCGCCTTTAACATGACAATCAAAATAAAATTGTGAAATGCTCTCTGCATCATCGAAACGGCGGCAAGCGAATGTTGGCAACAATACACACCCGAAACCGAGAACATACATTCGCTCCGTCGAGCCGATGAGTAAACAAGCTCCAGCCATAATCGCGTATGAAAAACGCATTTCATCGATTTGATTGCATTTGGTGCGGTAGCACACATAATCCATTTGGATTTTCTCGCTCTCGCTCGATCGTCCAACTGTAAAAGCTTTTCTCACTCACTCACTATCGCCATACTATTTCGATTGTAGGCAAACAAAAGTACAATCAGCGTCTCTTTTGAATAATTACATACAGTGCATACTGAACTATTTTATGTGTGCATATCGCAACACAAATGCCATCACAAATAAATACCGAGATGAACTGTTGAGCACGTAGTATTTTCGATGCAGACAAGTTCATTGAATTATTCCAATAAAATTGAATGAAATAGAATTAGAACAAAAATGCACATGGATTTTAATCATAATGTTGACAGACCTGAGACTATCCGTTTCTCTTGCCCATATATCCATTTGAAATTGAATTGAAATAAGCAAACGAAAAAAACGAAGAAAAAACTGCC